CATTTGCAAGGTTATTGTGAAGATGATGACTATCTTTTGAGTACCATGGCTATGAGAATGAAAAGCAAGTATGATAAATATTGGGGTCAGTTAGATAATATTAATTTGATGTTGTTTGTTGTTATTGTCCTTGACCCATGTTATAAATTGGATGCTTTAGAATTTTGGCTCAATGACAATTACAAGGCTGAGGATGAAGTAGTTAAGGTTCAATTAGTTGAAAAGATCAAAAGGGTCATTGACCGATTATGCCAACAGTACACTATCTTTAGTGTGGGGTGTGGAGTGGGGTCAAGTGTTGACCATGAGAAAAATGTGTCTTCGACTAAGATGTCTGTTCAAGATCAAGTACTTACAAATTTCATAAATAGGTATCGCAAATATAGGGCTGAGAAAGGTAATGTGGACAACAAATCAGAGTTGGATCGATATTTGATGGAGGATGTTGAATTTGTTAGCGCCAATTTTGATATTTTGAATTGGTGGAAGGTTAATTCTTCTAAATTCTCAATCCTTGCCAAAATAGCTCCTGATGTGTTAACTATTCTCATTTCTACGGTGGCATCAGAATCAACTTTTAGCACTGGGGGTCGTATTTTAGATCATTTTCGGAGTTGTCTGGCACCCAAAACAGTTGAGGGTCTCATATGTGCACAAAATTGGCTTCAATCGTCATTCATTGCTTATGACTTTGAAGATGTTTTGGATGATTCAAAAAGCTATAAACTAGATTCAGGTTATTATACTTTTATTGTTATTTTTTTATTATTTGTTGATAAGTTCTTCATATCTAATTTTTTTTCATACTCTTTTTTATCTTAGAAATAACTGCAGAAACAATTTCAATTTCTCTTGAGTGAAGAGAGGTGAATGACACTAGCAAAAAATGTGTTATTTAACTTTTTTATATTTTTTTTAGTAATTATAAGAGTATTTGTTATTGTTGTGGATATTTGAGTTGCTAAAATATTAATTTATTTTTTGTGTAGATTACATAATTTGTGGTGAACTGGCACAGACGAAGTAGTTATGATTTTAATGTATTTGTGTTTGTGTACCAATTATGGTGAATTGTATTTGTGTAACAATTATGGTGGATTGTATTTGTTTAACAATTATAGTGGATTGTCTTTGTAACAATTATGGTGGATTGATAGCTAAAACAATTATAATTATTGTTGTAATTGTTTTAGATTTTAGTATTATTGATTTATTGTGTTGTTAACATGGTACATGTTATTTAATTAAATTGTTAAAATGATTCAAAACTTAATAGTTACAAAAGTGTTTATCCACCTTCCTACCCGACTTCCTACCCGATTAATCGGGTAGGAAGTCGGGTAGGAATACTACACCTGATCGGGTAAGATAGAGTAAGAAAAAATTCTTCCGCAAAATATTGGGTAGGAATGCAGAATAATAAATTTCCTACCCGTAGGGTAAGGTGAACACCCATAATCATGATTATAATGAAAGTAGAAAGTCTATTTAGGGGAATAAATAGAAAAATGGAAGTAGTGAAAGTTAGAAGGGATACTATTTTTTTCTTCGAAGGGAAAGAAATCTTTTATTCATCATTTTTGTTTGATGAGAGAGATAGATCATTTATGTTTGAAATGAATAAAAAAGTGAAAAGAAGTAAAATGTACCCGTGTTTATTTTACCATTATATCCTGGTATGACATAAATTTATCCAACATATTTTGTAGATCAATAGGAAAATTATTTACTTTTAATTTCTTTCAGTTTCCTTTATAATCTTATTCATTTCTCCTTTTTTTTTTATCCCTCCACTTATTCCTCGTGCCAAACCAATCGGAAAAAATACCACCTTATTCAAAGAGATCACAAACATAGGCATTAAACTAATTTTCGTTTCTTATCTTTTCTTTTTAACAATCAAGTATATGTAGGTCAACTTATGTATACCTCGAATAATTTTCTATTCGTTCTGATTAAAGGTAGGTCATCAACGTCGAGATTAAGGTATTTATGACGGATAAATTCCTCATAACCTGATCCCTAAGAATTGTCAAGCTTCGAATTCAAAACGTCTGAATTTATAACTTGTTTCTGTTATCACTTAAAAACTCTTAGGTTATTAAACTAATTTCTCAAAAACGGATTAGGGTTCGGTCGGAGCCCTGGCCCATCCACTACGAAATACCACGGCCTATGGGAGGGCTCATCGGTTGAGTGTTAGGCCGCCAACCTAATGGGATTAATATATTGATGGGCCACGGCTCGATCAGCTGGCCCAGGTCCAAAATTGATATATGTGCATTTGTACCCTCTCATCAGGCAAAGCCTTCGAGCTTCCGCATGGAATGTCGTTCGTCGAGCATTGAAACAGTCCAACATATCGTCCTCTCAGTCACGTGCATCACATGCTTCTAGTAGAATAAAGAAAGACATCCCAATATTACTTGCATTTTTATGTAGAATAAAGCTATATTTATCCCAAAATTTATCAAATCAATGTAAATGATTGGATTAGTGGGTCATGTTAACGTTTTCTAATGAAATCCACTGCTTCAACCATTCACATTGCTATACTTTTTGGGTAAAAGTTTTTGAGCAATGTTATAATAAAGACTTAATTTGGAGACTTAATCTGATATCTAATTCAATATATTAATAAATTAGTTATGAATTTTAATATTAGATGGAAGTCGCATTCAATTCAACAACTGTAATTGATTTGATTCTCGAATTAGATCCAAATAACATTTTTCAAAGTTTTTTGTTAAGCAAATTATTACTTTTTATTTTTGGTTCGACGGTCAAAGACAAGTTATCCACTCCGGGATTAGGGTATTCATAAGAGATAAATCTATTATAACTTGAATCTAAAAAATTATTAAAATTTAAATTCAAATTCAAGACGTCTGAATTTACATTTTATTTATTTTACTACTTGAGTTTCCTTTACGGTTAAATTATTTATTTCTGCGTCAATAAGATGTGAACAACACTTTTTGGTTGCATCACCGTTTTTCAGTCAAACTTAACCCAACCAACTTACATATTTACACCTGCAGCAAGCCGATGTAGATGTTCTAGTCTTGAAAAAGCCATTCAACCCCTCTTACTGTGGGCTGTATGCATGCATGATGTGGTGGATTTGGTGTGTCAAGTTTCCACTCGAAGTTTAAATGATACAGCCTCTAATATGAACTATTAAAAGGTCGCGACACATGTTAGGATTGATTAAGCTTGACACGACAAACCCACTAAATTAATGTCACATACAATTGACTTTTGATTGACACCATAAACTCACTAAATTAATAATTATGGATAAATTTCATTGACACTCTTTGAATTTAAGTCATATTTCATTGATATTCCATCTGATTTTTGAAATATCACTGCACACCCTTATAATTTATATAAACGTTTCACAAACTATCGTTAATGTGATGTGATGGTTTATTCTTTTAGAAATTATCAAATTTACCCTTGGTCATATAAAATAAATTTAAAATAGTAGTAAACATCCTTTTAATATTAATTTAATTTAATTAAATATTAATTGGGTTAAATAGAATGTTTCCTATAAAAATTTTTTTTAAAAAATAATATTAATTTGTTAAAACTAAATATTAAATTCAAAAAATTAAATGTTAATTTTATAAAATTGAATGACCATTGGTATTGATTTGATAAAATTGAATTTTAATTTGAAATTCAATCAAAAAAATTATGTTAGTTTGATAAATTGGATGTTAAATTGATAACATTAAATGTTAATTTGATGAAATTGAATTTTAATTTGGTGTTAATTTTATAAAATTGAATATCGATTTGATGAGATTGAATATTAGTTTGCTGGAATAAAATGATAATTTTATAAAATTTAAAATCAATTTCACGTTAATTTGGTAAAATATTGTATTAATTTGATGAATTTTAATGCTAATTTGATAAAATTGATAGTTAATTTGGTGTTTAATTAGAAAAAATTGAATATTAATTTTATTAGTTAATTTGATGAAGTTTAATATGGTTTTGATAAAATTGAATGTTAATTTAGTATTAATTTTATGAACTTAAATATTAATTTGGTATTAGTTTGATAAAATTGAATGTTAATTAAATGAATTGAATGCTAATTTGATGAATGTGAATGTTAATTTGGTAAAATTTAATGTTAATTTAGTACTAATTTGACGAAATTGATTATTAATTTGGTATTAGTTTGATAAAATTGAACGTTAATTGGTTTAATTGAATGCTAATTTGATGAATGTGAATGTTAATTTGGCAAAATTTAATATTAATTTGATAAAATTTAATATTAATTTAATACTGATTTGATGAAATTGAATATTAATTTGGTGTTAACTAATAATAGTTGAATAAAATTGAATATTAATTAAACAAAATTAAAGGTCAATTTGATTTTAATTTGATAAAATTATAGATTATTTTTTGTATTAATTTGAGTAAGGGTAATTAAATAAAATGGGGGTTCTAGTAAGGGTAATTTACTAAAATTATGTATTCTATTAGGGCACAAAAAATGACACAAAGTATGCAGTGATATTTCAAAAATTAAAGGGGTTGTTAGTGAAATATGAATTAAATTCAAGGGGTGTCAGTCAAATTTATCCAATAGATATTTGTTTTGCCTTTTATATTCATTAGATCTGATATTGCATTAACCTGATTGAATTAGAAAATTTTTACTTGATTTTTCGAGCATCAGGATTGAGTTTATTTTTTGCTCGTAGGGCCCTCCACTGATGGGTTATGGTGGGAGATAAGAGGATACCAGTTCTGCGTTTTGCAGAATATTCGTCTTGTGTTTTTTTGAAGTGTTATTCATGTCTCCTTGAATATGGTACAACTAATGGATAAGTCAGAGAATAATATTATTATAACCTAAAATTTTAGCTTGATTTTGTGAACAAATTATATCCGTTTTTTGACCCGAAGGGCACTTCTAGTACTTGGGTCCCAAGCTCCACTTGCACAGACCTTGGTTCCATTGTGCAATGGACGTCAGAAACTGGTGTTGCTCCGGTGCTAGAGCCATCCAACTGGGCTGCAACGCCAACTACGATGAGCTGGAAGCCGTGAACGGACCAACCACAACCACGGGATTGAAAAACCAGATGTGGAAATTGCTATGGAAGAAGCTCTTGAAAGATCAGAAAAGGAAGCATGGTCAAGCTCAATTCTCGTATGATGAGCACAATTATTCTCAGAATTTTGACCAAGGCTTGACTTGGGTGGTACCGGAGAATCTCTCCCGATCCTTCTCCGTTCGCTTTTCCGATCCGTCCAGCAAGTTTTCGAAGAAAACGGTGGTGTAAGATATATGTTATAATCTTATTGTTGTGCTTATAATTTTTTATCTTTTATTGTGGAAGTTTTAATAGGAAGTTATATTCGTTGCTTAGTATATTACCCCCCCTCTCTCTCTCTCACACACACACACACGCACAGAGCTAAATTAACTTGCAAACTACATATTAGTACTTACACAGCTCTTAGCTAAGATGCTATGGTTTTGCCTGGTTCAATTCTTTACTTCTTCTTAGATTGAACCATTCCTTCTATTTGTAGTCCAATCCATATTGGTATTTATTTCTAGTTGTTTCTCACCCATATTCTATTTAGTGGTGTAAACAGGAGGATAACTATGCAGTTGGTAACCTGTGTGTGTGTGTGTGAGAGAGAGAGAGAGAGAGAGAGCATTTGATGGAATTTCCTTGTTTTTGCAAATTTGTTTGGTTTGTGGTATGTGGCCAGAGAAACCAGGAGTCTGGCTAAGATGAGAAATTAATTTCATGTAGAGCACCAGACAAATATGAAAAGAAATAGGCCGTATTCAATTGTCTGTGGCTCCTTTCACTTTATTCACCACCAAGTTGAGATGCCTCAATAGGAATCAGATAAGCACAGCCTCTGTTTCAGCTAAGCATTTTTCCATCCATGTTTAGAGCATTTTAATCTAAGTAAAAGGAATGTGGAGCATTTTCTATTTCCTTTCCTTTTATGGGTTAATTACATTTTGTTTAAAATAAAACTATATACACCACAAGTACGTATCAAAATGTGCACTAAATCATCTGCAGTCACTGATTTAACGATTGTAGCTGATTTGGTGCACACTTTTGATGTGCATAACATTGCTCTTTGTTCATATTTACAGAAAGTATTCAAGAGCTAACCAATTCACAATTGTGAATAATCATGTTGTGATTGGAAAAGCCTTTGGAGTTCTACTATGTCCCTCGTATGTGAGTTAGATTTTAGAACAAGCATGTATATGTAAGATATAGACTTGTCTGAGATTTGAACGTTGATTTGATATACTATAAATTACCTACTCAAAGAACTTATGTTTCAAAAATATCTACGTATTTTCGGCGTAATCAAACATACCCTGATATTATAGTACTGGGAAATGCTAGAAGCATATGGAAAACTCCAGTGACTTTGAAAGTCATAAAAAAACTGCGACAAGTAAGCTATTAATCCACGATGGTGTATTGTAGCCAGCTAGCTAGCATGATGTGTGCAGTTCAAATGGTGGGCCACACTAGAGTGCTGAAAGCCAACAATTAGAGATCCATGCACTAATATTGACAACTTGGACTGATCAAACCCCTTCCAATGTCCCTCATCAACCCACTTTCCCAATTCAAGGTCTTGCAACCCACCATGCATTTTGTTATGGAACCACCGACGTCGTTGATATTTATTAATGCTTGTTTCAAACAAGAAGTGAGTATTCCATTGACCAACATGCTTGACAAGAACTTGGAGAGAATATGTTTAAAGATGCCTTTTGATTCTCGGATCTGAAGTGTGCGCAACATCTAACATATGAGTAATAGGCAACGTTATCCAATCTCCTTCATTTGCTTTGCGTACAAAGACATTATTCTCCGCAACTTTCGGCGGTCCGTCCTTGCACCTTTCTATCTTAGATTAGATAGGCCACCAACACATGATGAGCCATGTCTACCCGGCCACTTAATCGAGGGCCTAAATCATCTGGCTAAAAGTTTATTATCCTATTAAGACCACTCCAAGACAATCCCTAAAATCACTCCCCAACAATTTTAAAACAACCCAAAAACACAATTCAAGACTCAATTGAAGAAGAAAGGTTTATCTTTTTATAAGACTTATTTCAAATATTAAAATCCACTTTAAACTTAAAATTCAAATTCGTACATCTACACTACATGAACCTTAAATCCAACTACAGCGATGAACTCCTTTTGAAAAATAAAGCATTACCAAGTTGAGTTTGGAGTTTGAGATGCCCTAAGTTAAAAACCCAAAAGTCCAAATTGTCTTCTTTTTCAACCTTTCTATCTCCTCTCTCTTTATTTCTGCTCGTTCTCATCCACTCCTAGATTATTTAAACAACCCCAATGGACACGTAACGTTGGCTTTGCATGCTATCATTCACCACCAAGTGCAACCTCTTACTTCCTCCATGTGAGATGTTTGTGGGAGGGGCAATTTCATAAATATATGTATTTTAAATTATATATATAATTAATTAATTAATTTTTTTTACATACCATGCATGCTTGCTCAAGTTTCACAATATGGTTATAATAGCCATTCAAATCAGAATTGGACTTCTACCCAAAATATTTTCCTTAATGGACTTCGAGCCTAATAAGTCCTATAATATGTACCGACCTTCAAATTATCCTAAAATTTTTGGAAAATTTGGAAGTTAGTACAAAAATTTGGATTTAATTGAGCTAAACTATATTAAAGAAACTTATTTGACTCTAAGTGTATTTTTTTGAAAAAAACCTAAAAGGTCATTTACTACTCCATGTGTCTCTCTCTCTCCATATTACTCTCTCTGTCCTATTTTCTCTCTCTTACATTGATATTTTTTTTTCAAATATATAAAGATTTGATTTAATTTTTTTTTATCTCTCACTCCCCTATTTTGCCTCTCTCCCTCCCTCCCTCTATTTTCTTCTCTCACTGTTACTCTTTTTCTACTTATTCTCTCTTCTCTTATATCAACTTTACAACAAAACCATTACACCAATCAAGTTACCCTATAATATATCAAATAGTTACTTCGTATGTTCTAATATATCAAATAATTATACTAAACAATTACACGAAATTACAATTCTAACCCAATTTCTCATTCAGTTATTTACATAAATAAAAGAGTTACATTATTTAGTATCACAACATAGTTACATCAATTATATACATCAAATTGGGTTTATTATTACACAAAGGACTTTAGAATTATACGAAATTTGATATATATAATTAGTGTAACTATATCGTGATACTAAATGGTGCAACTCTTTGATTTATGTAAACAATTGAATGACAAATTATATCAAAAATTATAATTTTTATAGATTCGGTTAATACTTTTTAGGGGTTATTACATTACAAAAATTACAATCAATTCTAAAATGGTAAGATTGATTTTTATAACATACAATTTTTGAGATCAAATTATATAATTTTGGGAGTCAGATATAACTTTTTATCATATTCGATATCAATCCTAAATATTAAGCTCAATCTGAAACACTTTAAAAAATTATAACTTGACCTAAAAAAATTTAGTGTTTCTGCAATACAATACAAAAAATAGTTATTATTTACACACTAGTAAAGAGCAATGCTATAAAAACCTAATCTAATGCAATCATTGAATTAATTCTAAATTTTAATGTTAAATGGAGTTCACTTTCAACTTAATTATTATAATTTAATTAGGTCCCCGAATTAAGTCTAAATAATATTTTTCTTTATTAAAAAAATTGTCTTGTTAGATATTAAAAGCCTAAATATTATTAACATTTCAGTTAAAATTTCAACCTTGCCTCAATCGATGCCGCCGAGGCCAATGATAGAGTAGAACATATGGTCTCCAACCCTTGTCTCTTTATATATAAAATTTCTGGTTATTTGCCACTATTAATAAAAGGAGAGAGAGAGAGAGAGAGATGGCGGTGCAGAGCAAAGGAAGCACAGAGTCTTTTATTAAGGTTCCAGAGATAAAGTTCGCGAAGCTTTTCATCAATGGAAAATTCGTTGACTCNGAAGCACAGAGTCTTTTATTAAGGTTCCAGAGATAAAGTTCGCGAAGCTTTTCATCAATGGAAAATTCGTTGACTCCATTTCAAGTTTTTCTCTCTCTTCTGTACCAGACAAAATGCTTTCCCTTCATGAGTTGTCTCTAGCTTTTCACATATTTGATTCTTAATTCTCATTTCTCTTTTATGCTTTGAAACCCCCCTCTATAAGAAGACGACTACTTGTGATCACAGTTCCCATATCATCTTCATGTTTCCCGGAGAGGTTTGTTAGAAAGTACTTATAAATAGAGAGCCCAAAATCATTCTAAAATAGTGGGGACAAAACAAAGAGAGAGAGATCTCGGAGAGGTTTTGAAAGTTTTCTTGTGAAAAATTTTTGTATTTATTTCCTTAGAGAAAAATAAAATATTTCTCTTTGTTTATATTGTGTTAGATGTGATTTTCTGGCACTGGATCACCAACATGTTAAACTACCCCCCATATTAATGTGTATATAGAAGAATTTTAGTGTTTTTGTGATTACTTCTTCACAATATGTGGGAACGACTCTAAAACCAAAGGTTTTAAGGTTTGAGTTATAATTATTTACTATTTTTTGATAGCAAGTTGCAACTTTTTGAGAGTTTAATTTACAATTCAAAAAATTATGATCGATTATAAAATATTATGATCGATCAAGAAAATAGTAATTTTAAAAGTAGAGATACACCTCTTAAAGAAAAGTTACAATTTATTAAGGTAATTTATGGTCCATCACAAGTATAGAGATTCATAATCAATCACAATATTTCATGATTAATTATAATTTTATCCTCAAAAGTAGTATCTTTTTGTACGCTACCAATTTTTTATAGTACCATAGTCGGTATAAGTAAACAAATGTTTTGGTTCGAGTAAATTACATATATGACCTTCAAATTATAACTCGTGTGTCAATTAAATTCTAAATTTTTTTTAGGTCAATTGAGTTTTGAACGCTCTAATTGTATCAATTGAGCGTTTCTATCTGCATTTTTTCTGATGAAAAGTGGTGAAGTGTATCATGTGAGTTGGAGTAAACTATACATATATCTCAAACTATGATGATTGTGTCAATTAAGTCATTCCTCACAAATTTTATGCTTTTTCATTTTATTATGTGTTGTGTTTAACAAATCTTTCATCCCAAATGATCTCACAGATTTATCATCATTATATAAAAGAGTTCCACTCCAATGTACCGATGGTAATTTTGACATGTTTTTCGAGATTAGAGTTTT